CCAGTCTCTGTGGCCGGCATCTTCAGAGGACAGGACCAGAGCACAGAGTGCTACTCCTGTCCTCTGAAGATGCCGGCCACAGAGACTGGAGAAACGTTAGGAAGAACAACCTTCAGAACATGGCCAAAGAGCCCGAAAAACCCACAACAACCATTAGATCCTGGCTGTGAAAGCCTTCACGAATACATTGAGTATGGTGAGTTGGACTAGAACTCAGGAGACCTGGATACAGTTCCCTGCTTGCCATGGAAGATCACTGGGACAGTGCTGGAACTGTTAAAACTGATTCCTAAATATCCCCCTTATCTTGAAGGCCCTGTTAGGGTCACTGTTAGTCAGTTCCAACTTGAGCTATGAGCCTGAAGACGCTGGAGCTGTTGGTGGTGTGCTCTCCTCCACCCTAGAAAGCAGCAAGGAACTTATATTAATAACTCTAGGGGAAGAGATGAGAATGTTGAGCCTGAGATAGCAAGAACCGGGAACTGAGAGAAAAGACTTATCAGTAGTGGAAGCTATTTGGGTGGGAAAGGAGAAGGGTATGAAAGCAAAGGACGATCACTGTGGCACATAACATACAGATGTATGAAATCAGGTGAGAGGTGATATAAAGACCATAGTACTTTGTTGATAAATCTAATTAGGGCTGTTATGTGCATAAGCTGAAGAAATACGTATAGTATATGTGGTTGGAATGAGTGTTTTTAACATAAGGTACCTTATGTAAAAGCAGCTGATGATTATCAATGTAACTGTGCTCTCATTTGCAAACTGACTCCACTTTAAAGTGGTCATGAGTAATCTCCTTCTCATAATAGCACAACAATAGCACAAGCAGTAATAGATCATCTCGGCCAGCAGATAAAATTGCCACCATAGTACAGATGCACATGCATTTCTGCAGAACACAATTATAAGTGTTAGTTGTTGTACATGTGCTAGCTTAGTAGAGGGTTAAAATCATTGTAAACAACAGTTTCTTTGACATCGAGTATTGGCAGGAAGAAAGAGGGAGCAGTGTATGAAGAGCAGGACTGCCACATGCTGTTGTCTGCTGACCCCCAACAGAACTGTTGGTTGTCTTCAGGGAACTTGTCCAGAGATCACCTTGGAATATATTTGTGCCCCCATTTCCATGTCTTTTCATCCACTTTGTCACCCCCAGTGGGAATGTCCATGTGCTCTCTGTGGGTGGCATACCACCTCTCTACAACTGTACCTTCACCCAGTTTGGAAAACGGCATAATAAGGTCTTTTAGAAATAGTTCAGTGTGAAAGCAAGTAGGTTGTTGTAATCGTCACCAGAGCCAATGTATGATAAACTAAATATAAAGTGAGTAAAATGATAAAAATGCTATGGACAATTTCTATACATATCTGCAGAGCTATGCTGTAGAAATAAAATGAATGTTACAGACTCAATTAGTAAATGTACTTCATTGAAGAACATACAGAAATGCAAAAAATACAGCTGGGGTAGGGTCTGGGGCAGTTTTTGAGTGATATGGAGGGTTGAAAGGAGGAAGGTTTGTGTAATCACTAGTAGCCTAGTTAAACTTATTCCAATATTGTTTATCATGAAATTATGCCCATTGTTAGGTTAATGAAAAAGAATAAATGCTTCAGTTCCATTAGCTAAAATAAAATAAAATAAAAACATCTCCTTTCCCCCCAAAAAAAGAAAGACGAGAGAGAGAGAGAGAGAACTACCTTAGTCAGATTAAATCATCATGAATTGTGGAACTGGTTGTGTAGGGATGGAAAAGAAAGTTTCTACAAGCAATAGAAACCTTTGTGTTCATAGAATGAGACCACTAAATACAAATCAAGATTTTTACTAACATACCTCAAATTTAATTAACTTGGCAAAAAGATTTTGAATGCCAGATCACATTTGTCCAGAGACACACTATGGAATGGAATAGTAATACCAGACTGTCTTCTCATAAGTTGGAAAGAGAGGGTAATTCAGAACCTTCTTTTTTTCCTTGTGGAAAGACTTATTCGTTCTAATATATCTACTTCTTTCACTTATTAATGCTGCATTTGATCTGATAATTGCAGGATTATCTAGTCGCTTGAATCTTCATGGTTTTTTTTTAATTTGTCTTGGACAAAGGTGCAATCCTGAGCACCTTTTGGGTGTAAGTCTTGCCATTCTGCTCTCATCTGATATAAGTGAATATTGTAAATAATATACTCTTAGGTTGTTCTTCATTATCCAGTGGACTAGAGACGAATGCTGACTACCCATTGGTTTGTTTATGGCTCTTGCAGAAAACTTGGCAATAAGCAATTTAAAAAGTGTGCTTATTACAACTATTTTGGCCAAAAGTATACAAAGTCTCATTCTGATTGTTAATAGAAAATGTGATGTTGGCTAAATAGAGATTCTTACAGTTATTCCACCCCAGAACACAGAGGGTTCATTTTCTAACTACCATATCAGCGTTGCTTTCTGTTTCCGCACTGGAATTTATGATGTTGCCTAGAAGCACTTTTGCATCAATGAACTGCGTTTAATACAAGGAGAGAGAATATTTAAATAAGATGTAGATTTCACAGTGTGGCTAGACAAGGGGTAAAAAAATCTGTATTCAGGATGTCCTGCAGATAAAAGACGTTTCAAGGCTCGCCTCAGTTGAGTTGGGGTTATGATGCTATGGATAGGGAACACTGGAAGGGCCTCAGGAGAACCCTGAATAGCACAAGGTAGGAAGATGAAGACTGTCTTGGCTGAAAAACCTTGGAGATTGGTTTAGGTGTGGCACGATATTATTGTTCAGAGCTGGCACATCGAAGGTTGGTACAGCGACCAAATCAGCCATACAAGCATGTTGCGCTGTGGCCAGTTTATGGAAGCAGAGGGATTGTTGTGACATGTGTCTCCTGAAGAACACCCATGCAGTAGTACAGTGTTTATTAAGGGCTGTAATATTCTTGGCTGCTTATATATACAAATAGCAATATTAAGGTTTGCAGAATTACAGAAAGTCCCAGTTAGCACTGAGCCTGATCAGTAGGAATGAAGTACTTACTGATAGCTAGAAGAATAAAATGGAGGTTGGGGGTGGAGATGCAGTGTCTGGAATCCTGAATAGAAGTACTGTACACTGCAACATTTTGTTGCAGGTCATAGTTGTCTTTCTTGTTACAAATCTATGTCTCAGTATTGCATTCTGTAACTTAGTGACTAGTTTTATAGAGTTATCTGTT